GTCAAAGGAATGGCTTGTTTCCAGCATATGGGTCCCTATTAATGAATGCTGCTCCCCTCTTTTAACGGCTAGTCGGTGTTCATGTAACCTGGTGCCAATCCTTTTAGATGTTTCTCCAACATAGTTGGCTGGGCAGTCTTTACATTTGATCTTATAAACTGCTCCAGATCTCTCCGTAATAGGGAGGGGGTCTTTGATCAGATCTGCGATCATGAAGAAAAAAAAAAAAAGTGGCCTTGCACATAGGATTTTGCCAAAATACAATTTTAGTATTGTTTACATATTGTTTAAAATCAAATAGCACTCACCCAAACATCTGAAGAAGCTAACTGTACTATTCTTGTCTTTTGATTAGACAAATATCTGGATATTTTTTAAAAACAACATTTTCTTTTTACTTTAGTGTGAAATCTAAAGCAAGAATATCACTTTTTAAATGAATCATCATTGGAGCATCCTACATCATGGTGACACTCAAAACAATATTCACAAAGTAATTTCTATTAATTATTTTTAAAAAATATGCAAATATTTTAAAAGAAGAATTTTGAAATGTGCAGGAATGCAATCCAAGATTTTTTTTTTCAAATATTAAAGTGATAGTCACTTTTTGCAAACTCACATGGCTGCTTAGGAAGCTACTCCCAGCTGTGACATCATTGTGAGTGCAGCTGCACCACTATGTGAGTTTGTAAAAAGATGCACACTGATTTTTTTTTTCAAATACACCCCATTCATTCCAAGGATTTGCACAATACTATTCTTTCATTTAAAACATTTACATACTATAAATGCCTTATTAATGCAATACAATGGTATACACAGAAAGACACATACATACACAAACCCATTGTAAGAAATACCAGACTTATCTCTTAATTCTGTAAAATGTCACACACTCTGAGTGTATCAATTATACAATTATAACCATAATAGGTTATTCCCATGTGTCTGAAGGTAGAAGACTTTTGCCTGGGGCACTATCCATGTCCTTATTATAAATTAATTTCTTTGCATTTGTTCCTTCCATATTAATCTTATTACCACCTTTGTAATTTTAAATTTCATAACATTACTTTCATTTTTTATTTAAATCTTTAGCTTTTAATTTCATTTCTAGTGGAGGTGATAATTGCCCATCACCCTCCAATTGGATGTAATAATACTACTATTAATTATACCCCCAATACAGACACAAACCTTTTTCTTTAGGCCATACATTTGCCTTACTAATAACTTGTACTCTGCTAAATAACCTGTGCAATAAAGGTATGTATAATTTTCTCCATTTGTGACAGAATTAATGGCAACAGTCAATGTGATAAGTTTAAGATAAGGTGCTAACTCTGGTATAATTAATGTCTGACAAGATATTATGCAAATATGCATTGCTAACTGAAAATTAATCACTATAAACATTCTGCAAAGATACTTAATTCATTTTAATTAACTTATATACTGTGAACCATTATGGACTACTACTTGGAAGGGAACATGCAGTAAGTAAATGAGCTGAAATAACTTTAGCTGCCAAGG